TCATATGTTTCTTCTTCTATGAGGGTGTGTTTAGTTCTCACTGTGAACAGCTTTGCTGCCTGTTGTGGGGCTGCACTGAGGAGATGCTCTGCACTGGAGTGGGAAGCGAAGAAGTTGGAGCTGGGACACAGGCAGCCTTGGCCGGCATTGGCTCTGAGATCAGGGCAGGGCCGTGCACTGCCCAGTCTCCTGTTTCATTAGCTGGGACATAAACAAATCATGTCTTGGTTTGGATGTGACGGCCTGTCAGCGATTGTTATGAGAATCCAATTCACTCTGATACGGCAGTTTTGTAAAGGGCAAGGATTTGCCATTTTCCTCATCATTCAATACTGATGCATCACCTACACCCTATTCCTGTTCCTAAACCCGACAACCCCGTGGACAGCGGTGACCCCGTGGACGGCGGTGACCCCGTGGACAGCGACTGCGCGTGTTTTCCCTGTGCACACCCCACAGTGCCCAGCACATTGTCTGGAACACAGTAGTTACTCAATAAATGTCTGCTTAATTAATTCGTAATTAAGTGCCAAAGCTACCACAGACAAATAATCTCTTTTATATCTTCTTTATGTGCCATAGAAACCTCAAAAAAAGAGAAATCCTTTCCCCACATCAGCTTCTGTCTTTTTCCAAACTTCCCGAGCCAACTAGCGGAGAGATTGCCCGAGCAGCAGAGATAATGGAAACATCAATACAAGCGATGAAAAGAAAAGTCAACCTGAAAATTCAACAATCACAGCATCCAACAGGTAACGGGCGCCCCCTCCCCACTGAGAAGCCGCAACTCCCCAGGGAGGACGCCTTGATTTTTGTCCAGGGGCTGCTTGTTCAAGGCGTGTTTTTTACTTGAGACCGAGCAGGATGGGACTCCAGCTCTTTCAAAACATACGAGCTGCAATTTTTAAAATGCGTACCAAACAGTCTCAGTATCTCATTTTTGTTACTCCGGAAAATAGCTGTTTCTCTCCAATTCAAATCAAACTTGAAAAGCTCAATAAGCTAAACATCCGTTTGTATGGGTATAAAATAATTTAGGAATTTTTCCCACAGCCCCCCTCTTAGTTAAAACTTGGCGAGCTCATTCATAAAACCTCTTCAATGAAAGGACTTCATGTGTGAGGCAGCGTGTTGCAGGGAGCCCCATCTTCCCCGAGTTGCTGTTGCCTTAGCAGAGCTGCCTAGGACCTTTGAGAACCAATTGACTCATCTCTAAAATGAGGACAGTAGCACTGCTCACTCCGCTGGCTATCAGAAGACCAATGCATAAACCAGGAGCAAATGTCATTATTTCTTCAGCTCTAAAGCACTCTATGGACATAAGATACTGAGATGGTAATGCAGGCAGCCAAAAGGCATATGGGTGCTTCTTATGATGGGGAGCAAGTAAGCGAAATGTCTTTTTAATTAATCAATAATTTTTTCTGTGCAGTGCCATGAGCTACTTGGCCTCTGAGTTCTTCCTTCTAACTAGCTATAGATCAATTTGGTGCTGGTTTACTTAGCTTTTGGAATAAGACAAACTTGGCTAAACCAGTATTAACCAGAATTCTCAAATCCTAAACTTAACAGTGAAGTTTAATTAACTTCACAGCAAGCTAAGATTCATTTGAAATGTCCTTTCTTTCAAACCATGTGGCTGAATGATGTTTCTAAGAACTCTTGGTCCACTGTCCTGTCCATTGTCCTGTCAGGCCTCCTATGGAAATGGCAGTTCCTGACGTCAGAAGATGTGGGTCTTTCTGGTCCATGCTTTAGAGCCACATGCTCATTGCTGGGTCTGTAGACATAAATGTTTAGGAGAATAGGCTGAGGTATGTGGTCCAGGCTATAACATAGAACTTAAGGACTCCATAATTTAGAATATTTTTAAATGATTTCCATTGTAAACATAGCCCATCTAGAAAATTTAGAACGTGAGGAAAGTAAAAAGGTTTCCCATTACTTCATCACCAAGCCAGGACTCCATTAAATGTCAGTGCCTGTCCTTCTAGGCTGCTGCTTCACGTTGGTCTTGTGTATTGTGTGACTATAACCTAATGGTTCTTTTCTATTGCACATGATTTGTTGTCTGCAAGCACCTGCTTGAGGACATTCCTGTCAAGAAGAATCTGTGCTCAGCTTTTTGAGGAATGCCTATTCCTGCACTAACTGAATGCACACTGCAGTCCGAGGTTTGCTTAACTGTTCCCGTAGAGCCATTCCCATTGGCCTGTTAGTGAGCATTCATGATTGAAAGACTAGTCTGTTTCTCTCATATCTGAAAATGGAAACCTTTCCTTCCTGACTTTTTTTCTATTGAATATCTCAATTTCACTGGTATCTGGTTAATCCAAGTTTTGTAGCTTTATCCTCAAAGATTTATATAAACCGTCTTGGAGAAGTAATCCACGATTACCTCTACTAATGGGCAGTAAAGTCACTCTCACTTTGATTTGTTGAATAACATATAAATTATAGTGACAGAATTGATCCAAAAAAAAAAAAAAACAGGAAATTGTTTCGTGGGCTCTCGTCTCATCTGGAAAGATTTACAAGGGAACCAAAAATCAATACAAAGGAAAAATGAAAGGTTTTATAGACAAGCGTACCATCTTCATCAAGGCAAGATTTTTTTCTACATTAGGGTTCGGGATAAATTCTACTCCTCACTGTCTCCTAAAGCCCTGGGGCCGTTGCTAGGCACACATGCCTCACTGTGCAGTTGTGCTGAATGAGCCCTGGAGATGTGCTCAGTGAGGGTTGATGGTAACTGCGAAGTTACTTGCTGGCTTATCCCCCTGGGGGCTGAGAGCTTTTAGATTGCTTTTCTGAAAGACCACGGAGCAAAAATAAATTTTAAAAACCCCACATTTCTAGCAATAAGGAAGCTCAAGAGAATTAAATGAGTGAGTACTTGATGTAGAGGGAGAAAGCAGATTTTCTCAAAAACAATGACCCCAGTTACATATGAATCCCAAATTCAGATGCTGGAGCCACTTTTGAGACTCTGCCGTAGAATATTTATTGGGTGGATTTGTGGTTACAAGCACAGAATTCACGGTTTCCCATTTTTCACAGATGCTTTATCAGAAGATCTGCTGAGCATCATTGCAAACATGTCCGGGTGTCTCCCTTACATGCTGCCCCCAAAATGCCCAAACACGTGCCTGGCGAACAAATACAGGCTCATCACAGGAGCTTGCAACAACAGGTATTGTTTGTGGATTTTCTTAATCTTCTCATGAAAGTTGCATCTGAACATGACTAGGTGCCATCATAAAGGAGCCTCTACCATGACTGGTGGATCCGTACCCACCCCTGAGCCCCTGGTTCCTGTCCTTGGCCTCCCTGACGTGGCCTCTTGCACACCTGGTGGTGCCTCGAGCAGCGTGCTGAGCCACACCGTCATTCCCAGCCACAACGCCCCTTCCATAGGTGCTTCTAGGTCACTCTTAACTTCCTAACCCCACAAATTCCACCGTCGTTCACCTAATAACTCAAGCCATACGTTTAGGTGCCATCCTTGATTTCACTAACTCCCCTACCCATTGCTTCCAATGCACCCCCAAGACTGTCACTATTACCCCCAAAGTGAGTGCTCTCCACTCCCTGTCACCTTAGCTGAAGCCAGAATAACCAGCCGGCTGCCATCACGCGGTGGCCCCTCACCGGTTCTCCTAGTTTAACTGTTGCTTTCTCCGTTCACGCTTCCTGTTGTGGCCAACACCATCTCAGCACCCTCCTTCTCAGTGCCCCCCACCCAAGTCCCCACTGCACTCAGAGTGAGTTCAGATCTGCCCAACAGTGGCAACTGCCCACCTCCTCTGGTCCACGGTGGCAGGAGGTAGACAGGAGCTTTGGCCACACACAGAGCCATGTGATTCAGTCTGCGGTTCAGACTGGTTTTCTGAAGAAGGTGATACAGAAGTGAGCCAAATCTTAAGGGATGAGTGGGGATTTCTCAAATGGGCCACAGGGTAGAGGAGAGGGCTTTGCAAAGGCCAGAAAGAGCAAGACACGTTTGGGCAGAAACACGCAGCCTTTGGCACACAGAGGGGCAGAGGGAGAGCAGCTGCGACTGTGGCGCCTGTGGGGTCTGGGGGCAATAACACGCCCCGTGGTCACCTGGAGGCTTTGTCAGGATGGCCGCAGGCTTGATGTCCACCGATGCAGGCAGCAAAGGTGCTTAGCATGGAAGAGCTCCTCAAAGGGACTCGAGCTCCTCGCTGCTGGGTGTGCTGAGGCCAGAAGGAAGATGCCCCGTCCCCGCTGACCCCGTGAGAGAGGGATCAGCAGGACCCAGGCAGAGCCCTGGCCTGGACAGGCAGTGTCCTGAGACAGAGGGCAGGGGCTCTGGGACAATGAACAGGAATCGGCGTCCTGGGTCAATGATGGTTAAGAACAACAGCTTTGCAAATGGACAGCCCTGGATTTGAGACCTGGAATCACCACTTATCAGAGGGCAATTTGTTTCCATTCTTTGAGCTGTAAGAGCTTGTTTGTAAAGCCCACAGCAGGAACGCATAACCTGGCTATGTGTAAGGACTGGATCTTAGGACCGTGGAGCCCCAGCTGGAAGAGGCAGCCTGTGCTGAACGCGGAGGTGGGTCAGGACCACACAGGAGGCTACTGTCCACCCCTCCTCCCCTGAAGCCTGGGGTGCCTGTGCTCACACATGGAAGCGGGCTCAGAGGTGGAGACAGCACGTGTCCTGTCCTCAGAGCTTGGTGGAAGACATAGGTGTAGACAAAGGAAGCGCAGGAGATGATGCCTGGGAGTATGGGGACACTGAAGAGGCTGGTGGGATGCACAGCTGGAGGGACCGGGCCTGGATGGAGGAGGGGATGGGGCAGGTGCACTGTTGAGCCAGAGGCCAGAGCAGAGACGGCTTCGACTGCACGGGGAGGAGCAGGGTCTTCAGCAGGGCAGGGTGCGGTCTAACCTGCAGATGCACGTTCAGGGTGGGGATTCCTGGGGACAGTGGTGTTGGAGATGTGGGGGCGGGGCTGTTCTCTGAATGGATTTCAAAGCCTGCCCCTGGGTCCTGCAAAAGAGCCTGAACCTGTTTTTGGTTTGGTGCTTCCTCATTCATAAGTCACTGTTCACTCAAAAAAAAAAAAAAAAAAAAAAAACCTCTTTAAAAAATGTATTGTGCTTCAGTTTACAATTTAACAACCTCAAGACCAGGGCCTCAGCCAGCACCAGTGAGTTCCTGCTCGGCCCTTCCCAGAGGCCCTGCTGCTGTCTCAGGCGCCGCTGCCCCTGCTGCTGGGCGAGCTCCACTGATGCTCCTGGGAGAATCTCTGCTGACCGTACAACGACGTTGGCACTGGCAGCCGTGATCTGGGGACACTTCTCTCTTTCTGTGGTGACGGCTACAGTTTTCATTAAGAATGTACAGCATCTAGATCTAAAGTCCCCTATGTTCAAGGCTTCACACATTGTATTCCACCAAAAATAAAACATCTGCTCAGAAGTCGTTACTGTCTCACTTGTTATAAAGATGAGCCACAGAGGGCCCCTGCCCCTTGGCCCCTGGGTAGTTTATTTTTAATCTGCAGGCTGAGACCTGTTAGTGCCAAGCCTCCTAGGATCAAGCTCAAATTTATTCATGCCCAGTTGTGAATAAAACAGCCCAAACGAGCAGATTTTTAGCCACTTGGAGCCTACCTCTTTGTGTCTTCCACAAAACCTCTCCCAGTATCTTAGGCCATTGGTAAGATACAGCCTTGTGGTCAACAGACCCCAGGTCGCTGCTGCCGCTGGAGTTGCCTGGCCAGAGACTCCCCCTCCACCTCACCATGTTGCTGAGTAAAGTCATCAGACACAGAGACCCTCTGATGCCCCACCGTGAGTTCCTCACCATCCTCCCCATCTGGGTGGCGGTCCCTCACCTTAGCCTCTAGATGGTCCCCTGCCTTGAGGGATGTCCCCTCTTCTGCACCTGTGCCCAAGAGCCACCCCAAAGGCATGTGTGTGTCTCTGCCTCCCCTGGTCCTAACTTTTGCCTTGCTCAGCCCTGAGTTCCCAGAGCTTCCCCACACCCAGTAAGTTGCTAAGTTCCCCTCCAGCGGTCTCCTAAGCCGCGTCAGCGTCCCTCTCAGTCACCAGCACCTGGTTCCCCACCCACACCTTCCCATCCTTGCCTGGGCTGGTGCCGACTCACTAGGACCCTCCCTGCCCAGGGGAGGTCACCTGGCCTCTCCAGGCACCCAGAGAGATTGTGACCGTGTCCTTGCATGGCACTAGCTCTCTGGCCTGGGTTTGGTTGCGTTTCTCTTTATTGTTTCTTGACTAGTGTGTCGGCCGTGTCAGGTGAAATTTTCAGATTAACAGCTTAACACTCCATGCAGGAAGTCCCTACTCAATATTCTCAGCACATCACCATATGGCTGTCCTGATGGTATATATTATATCTTATAGAACGTATTAATCTTATAGAACATATTAATACGTGGGCTTCCTTACGTGATCCTAAAAATCCGAATATGTTTTAGAATTGTCATGCAACTTCCAGTCAACACGTTTAGCATTTGCTTTGGTTAGGTTTGCTTTGGTTTTTCATATATGGGATTAAAGAATTAAGACAGATATTTGTTTCTGATACATCATTTTTAATTTAGAGAATTTATATTCCTTTTGATTAATTCTGGTGATTCAGCTTTGCCTCTACATCCTTGCTGGGTCAGATGATGCAGTTTTTATTCCAATTATGAAGGGCATGTGGGTCCTCCGCAGTGAGTTTGGATTTTTATGTTTGAGGCTCACCAACATTCCTCAAAAGGTTTCGGATGACTAAATCTCGCATTAAGCATTTCCCTTTTATTGTCTAAAATTTCACCCATGTTTCTTTCTGATCGCGTTTGGCTTTTGTTTTCGTTTTGTTTCTTCCTTTTGTTTCTAACTTGAAGGCGCCGTGTTTTCTTCTCCTGCTCGCTTGTTCCTTCCTGAAGGTCGTTTCTTGTCCCTCACCCACCACCGCCGCCCACCGTGCTGTATTTCCAAGCGACCTTCGGGTGTGGGCTGCAATGACATATCTAAGACAAATGTTATTTGGAATTAACTTTTGAAATTCTAAATGTCGAAACGGTAGATTTTAAAACTCATTCATTTCTACTAGTTCTCTTGCTTTACGGTGTGATGCCTGCATGTCACAGATGGATGACAGGGTTTCTAAGGCTTGCTTTTCCTTTGTTGGTATTTTCCTAATTGCTTAGGACATATCACATAAAATTACTTAACAAGTAGTGGAAAAGAATGATTTTTCTTTTGCTGTTTCACCTGGACTTTTTGTTTGTATGGTGTAGTTGGTGCTGCAGAAGCTACTTTGTTGAAAGAGGAGGGGGCAGGTTGCTTCTCGTTTGTGTGGTGTAGCTAATGCCACACCCGGATGTCTTGTTTGTACGATGTGGTCAGTGCCACAGGAGCTACCATGTTGGAAGGGAATGGGGCAGGCTCCTTCTTGTTTGCATGGTGTAGTCCGTGCCGCAGGATGTACCATATTGGAAGGGAATGGGGCAGGCTGCTTCTTGTTTTTGTGGTGTAGTCAGTGCCGCAGGAGGCACTATGTTGGAAGGGAATGGAGCAGGTGCCTTCCTGTTTTTATGGTGTAGTCAGTGCCACAGGAGGCACTACGTTGGAAGGGAATAGGGCAGGGTCCTTCTTGTTTGTATGGTGTAGTCAGTGCCACAGGAGCTACCATGTTGGAAGGGAATGGGGCAGGTTCCTTCTTGGTATGGTGTGGCCAGTGCTGCAGGACGTACCATGTTGGAAGAGAATGGGGCAGGCGCATTGTAAATTTTGAGTCTTTTTTTCTTTTCACTTTGTCCTAAAGGAAATTACCAGGTCTCTGCATAAAGCCCCAATTTTTTAACAGGTAAGGGGTGTGTGCATGCATGGCAAACTGGTCCCTTTAAAAATTTTAGAATCTCTAAATATAAAGCTTGAGATATTAGTAATGCTGTTGATAACTGTGCATTTGGGGTGATGGTATTTTTGTAGTATCATTTAAAGGATTTCCAGCTTCTTTCTGTTTCTGTTACCAACCTGTGGAGACCTCTTCATCATCCTGGACTCAGATCAGGGTCCTCAACACTCCTGCACTCCCAGCCAGCTGAGGCTGTTGTTCCCGCCTGTGTGTTTTTATAGAAGTCTAGGAGTTGGGGGTAGGAGGTGGGTGTGGGCAGGGGTCACATCGCTTACAGGTTACGT